AGAGAGAGACCGGGGCAGACCAGGGGAAATAGAGAGAGAGAGAGAGACCCAGGGGAGACGAGGGGAATAGCGAAAGAAAGAGAGAAAGAGAGAGTGGCCGGGGGAGACGGGGAAAATAGAGAGTGCAGGGGGAGACAGGGAATAGAGAGATCTCTCTCTCCTCTCTCCTCTCTCCTCTCTCTCTATCTCTCTGTTGCTCAGTTTCCTTCTCTCTCACCTTTGTGTGTCTCTCTGTGTCATTTTCTTTGCTCACTCCCTCTCTCTGTCTCTCTCCTCCTGTCTCTTTCTCTCTGTCTCTCCTTGTGTCTTCGTTATCACCAGATATAGTTCTGTTCAAAAATTAACCTCAAATGTTCACTTAGCTTTTCTCTGTAAAGATGCTGTGGAGCGGTCCCCCCTTGAAAGGGGATTTGCTGTTGACATGTAAGATTACCGGTGGTTAGTCTCCCTTACCCCTTCGCTCTGCGCTAACCGGTTAACCTGGTTATTGCAGCAATCATGAAGCCTCTTGACCATCCGCACGTTGTCAAACTGATCGGAATCATCGAAGAGGAGCCGGCCTGGCTAATCATGGAGCTGTATCCCTACGGAGAGGTAGGTGAGGGGGGCAGGGGTGTCACCAGGTCCAGCTGGGAGTGGGGAGAACATCTCACAGCAAGTCATTTCATTTGAGAACTCAACCTTACGTCCCATTTCACAGACGCAAATATACTTCATTAAACCCTACAACAGGGACTGTCAGAGGGTCCAGGCTGAGGGAGCACCGCGCTGTCGGAGGGTCCGCACTGAGGGAGTGCCGCTCTGTCGGAGGGTCAGTGCTGAGGGAGGGGGCACTGTCGGAGGGTCAGTACTGAGGGAGCGCCGCACTGTCAGAGGGTCACTGCTGAGGGAGCGCCGCACTGTCAGAGGGTCACTGCTGAGGGAGCGCCGCACTGTCGGAGGGTCAGTACTGAGGGAGTGCCGCACTGTCAGAGGGTCAGTACTGAGGGAGTGCCGCACTGTTGGAGGGTTTTATCTTATTCACTTGTGATACAGGGTTGTCTTTGGCTGGGCCTGCATTTATTGCCCGTCCCTAGTTGCCCATTGAGAAGGTGGGGGTGAGCTGCCTTCTTGACCCACAATGCTGTTAGGGAGGGAATTCCAGGATTTTGACCCAGTGACAGTGAAGGAACGGTGATATATTTCCAAGTCAGGATGGTGAGTGGTTTAGAGGGGAACTTGCAGGGGATGGTGTTCCCATGTATCTGCTGCCCTTGTCCTTCTAGATGGAAGTGGTTGTGAGTTTGGAAGGTGCTGTCTGAGGATCTTTGGTGAATTTCTGCAGTGCATCTTGTAGATAGTACACACTGCTGCTACTGAGCGTCGGTGGTGGAGGGAGTGGATACTTGTGGATGTGGTGCCAATCAAGCAGCTGCTTTGTCCTGGATGGTGTTGAGCTTCTTGTGTGTTGTTGGGGCTGCACCCATCCAGGCAAGTGGGGGGTATTCCATGACACTCCTGACTTGTGCCTTGTAGATGGTGGACAGGCTTAGAGGAGTCAGGAGGTGAGTTACTTGCCGCAGTATTCCTAGATTCTGACCTGCTCTTGTAGTCACTGTGTTTATGTGGTGAGTCCAGTTGAGTTTCTGGTCCATGGTAACCCCCAGGATGTTGATAATGGGGGATTCAGTGATGGTAACACCATTGAATGTCAAGGGGTGGTGGGTAGGTTGTCTCTTATTGATGAGTCGTTTTGGAAGGACAAACTTGAAAACAAAATACAGGGTTAATGGAAAGATTCTTGGCAGTGTGGAGGAGCAGAGGGATCTTGGGGTTCATGCCCAAAGTTCCCTGAAAGCTGCCACCCAGGTGGATAGAGTTGTTAAGAAGGTGTATGGTGTGTTAGCTTTCATTAATAGAGGGATTGAGTTCAAGAGCTGTGAAGTTATGCTCCAACTATACAAAAGCCTGGTTCGGGCACATCTGGAGTATTGTGTCCAGTTCTGGTCGCCTCATTACAGGAAAGATGTGGAGGTGTTGGAAAAGGTGCAGACGAGATTTACCAGGATGTTGCCTGGAATGGAGGGAAGGTCTTACGAGGAAAGGTTGAGAGAGCTAGGGCTTTTTTCTTTAGATCGACGAAGGATGAGAGGTGACTTGATAGAGGTGTACAAAATGATCAGAGGTATAGATAGAGTGGACAGCCAGAGACTTTTTCCTAGGGTGGAGGTAGCTTTTACGAGGGGGCATAGTTTTAAAGTGAGTGGAGGTAGATATCGGGGAGACGTCAGAGGTAGGTTCTTTACTCGGAGAGTGGTAGGGGCGTGGAATGCATTGCCGGAGAGGGTAGTGGAGTCGGCCTCATTAGGGGCATTTAAGCAGCTATTAGATAGGCATATGGATGATAATATAAGGTCGGGGTGGAGGTGAGATAGACCTTATGATTAGGGTAAAAGTTTGGCACAACATCGTGGGCTGAAGTGCCTGTACTGTGCTGTACTGTTCTATGTTCTATGGTCATAGCCTGGTATTTGTGTGGTGCGAATGGCGAATAGCACTTGTCACTTGTCAGGCCAAGGCTGGATATTGTCCTATGGTTGTCCCTTTGGTGGGTTAGTCTAACTAGTTTTTCTTGTAGGATCTGAGTTTTCTTGGTTCTTGTTATCTGTTGACTGACGTTAATGGCTCATTCTAGTCTGTTGTCCAGTGCAGGTAGATGTTAGCAACTTAGACTGGAAAACTAGTCAGACTAACCCACCAAAGGGACAACCATAGGTCAGACACTTGGATAAGAAACCTTTCAGACCGGAAACTGACAGACACAGAGAAATCTGTGCTAATACGTGGACTCAACTACAACCACAGAGATGCCAACAAGACAGAATTTCTAGGCACACTGGAAGCCACACTGAAGACCAACAGCATCAATGAGGAAACACAACAAGCCATAAGACAGACAGCATTCCCGACACTGAGCAGAAGGAGCAAACTTCACACACTCAACACATCAGAAAGGAAGGCCCTAGAAGGGCTGAACAAAGACAAAAACATCATAACCCTACCAGCAGACAAAGGGCACATGACAGTAATACCAAACAAACAGGACTACCTCACTAAAGCACAGACATGACTCGCAGACATAAACACATACCGGCAAGTGCAAATAGACCCGACACTGCAACTGGGTAATAAAATAATCTACACACGAAAGAGACTCAAACAGACAGGACAAATCAACAAAATAGACTCCTTAAAAATGAGACCTGAAGGGACAAATACCTCCCGATTGTCCGGCCTCCCAAAGATATACAAACCGGAAGTACCCCTCAGACCCATAGTCTCCCTCCCAGGCACACCAACACACAGGTTAGCCAAGGAGTTATAACGAAAACTAAAGCACCTCGTCAGCAGGTCCCCCTACTCAATGCACTCAGCCCAGGAGTCCCACCAATCCCTCAAGGACAAAAGAATAGATGATGACGAGACCATGGTGTCATTTGACGTTACTGCCCTATTCACATTGATTGACAAACCACTAGCAAGAGAAACACTAACAACACTACTAAAAGAATGACACCATCTCCACAGACAACATGCTGAAACTACTGGACCTATCCCTCATGACCCACTTTAACTTTAACAGCCAAATCTACGAGCAGATCAATGGGACACCCATCTCTATCTCCGGACTAATAGCAGAAGCAGTGATGCAGAGACTCAAAAGCACGGCCCTTCCCAAAACCAACCCAAACTATGGATCCAATATGTGGTCAACACTTTCATCGTCATCAAATGGACTAAACTAGAGGAGACATACCAACTAATAAACAACACTCTCACCACATCAGATTCACCAGGGAAGAGGAAAAGAACAAACAGCTCCCATTTCTGCATGTCATGGTAGAACACAGGGCCAACAGGGAATTCCTGATGAAGGTACACAGGAAAGCCACACTCACTGACCAAGTACTGAATTTCAACAGGAACCACCCCAACACCCACAAACAAAGTTGCGTGAAAACACTATTAAAATGAGCAACAACACACTGTAGCAACCCGGAACTACACCAAAAAGAAGAAGAATACTCCCACCAAGTATTTAAGGACAATGGATACTCGAACAACTGGATCCGATGATGCCTATCACACAAACAACAACAGGAAGGTACTGCACTCCCTAACACACTCATCACACTACTGTACATCAAGAACATATTCAAACTGACCACAAGACTCCTACAACCATTGGGCATCAGAGTAGCACACAAACTCACATCAACCCCACACCAACTGCTAACTCAAAACAAAGACCCCTTACCCACTATGGTCAGAACCAATGTAATATACAAAATTCCATGCAAGGACTGCGACAAACATTACATTGGACAGACAGGAAGAAAATTGGCCAAAAGAATACATGAATACCAACTAGCAACGAAAAGACATGACCAATACTCATTCACACGAATAAGGAGAACCACTGGTTCGATTGGGACAACATCAGGATCCTAGGACAGGCCAAACAGAGACAAGCACGGGAATTCCTTGAGGCCTGGTTCTCCATCAAGAGGGCCATCAACAAACACATAGAACTAGACCATATATATACACCACTGCGAAGGAAAACCGGAAATGAGGTAATCAAATCCAATGGACCCCAGAGTTTATATACCAGGCGGGAAAACATAAAAGCGCTTCATTGGAGGCTGCACTGGTGATGTTACCCAGCAGGAGAATGAAATGTCTGCAAACTAACGAACGAGCGCGGCGAGAAAACTAACCACAGCATTCACAACCCAAGCTACAAATCTACTCAAGAACCTTAGAATCAATCACATTGTCTGACTGTGGTCTCTGTTTTGTGTTTATTCAGTTGGAAAGCTACCTGGCAGCGAACAAAAACAACCTGGAAGTGCTCACCCTCATCGATTACTCCTTGCAGATCTCCAAAGCTCTCGCCTACCTTGAGGGAGTGAAAGTTGTTCATCGGTAAGTCAATCACTAGATACGGGTGATCACCTGATCACTGCTCTCTACCAGGTGTGGTCACAGGATCAATACTGACTCCAATATGAGGCTTGGGCTACTCTCCCCTGAGTTGAGGGTGGGACTAATTTGCTCCTGGGGAAATCTGGCAAGGGCTCAGTGGGCTGAAAGGCCTCCTCCTCTTATAACCAATCTGATGGTTATACAGTCACAAATAACGTCCTCCTCTGACACAAACTTGCCACTCCAAGACAGGAACAAAAACAGAAATTGCTGGAAAAGCTCAGCAGGTCTGGCAGCATCTGTGAAGAGAAATCCGTGTTAACATTTTGGGTCCTGTGATCCTTCCTCAAAATCATGCAGTGGACAGTGAAGAAGGTTACCTCTGAGTTCAATGGGCCCTTGATCAGATTGGCCAATTGGTCGGGGAATGGTAGATGGAGCTTAGTTTACATAAATGTGAGGTGCTGGATTTTGGAAAAGCCAATCAGGGCTTAGTGGTAAGAGCCTGGGGAGAGTTGCTGAACACAGAGACCTTGGAGTGCAGGTATGTAGTTCCTTGAAACTAGAGTCACAGGTAGATAGGATAGTGAAGAAGGCATTTGGTATGCTTGCCTTTACTGGTTAGTGCATTGAAAAAAGGAGACGGGAGGTCATGTTGAGTCTCTACAGGGCATTGGTTAGGCCGTTTCTGGAACACTGCTTTCAATTCTGGTCTCCCTGCTGTAGGAAGGATGTTGTGAAATTTGAAAGGGTTCAGAAAAGATTTAGAAGGATGTTGCCAGGGTTAGAGGGTTTCAGCTATAGGGAGAGACTGAATAGGCTGGGGCTATTTTCCCTGGAGTGTCAGAGGCTGAGAGGTGACCTTATTGAGGTTTATAAAATCATGAGAGGCATGGATAGGGTAACTAGACAAGGTCTTTTCCCTGGGGTGGGGGTATCTAAAAGTAAAGGGCATAGGTTTAAGGTGAGAGGGGAAAGAATTAAAAGGAACCTAAGGGGCAACTTTTTCATGCAGAGGATGGTGTGTGTATGGAATGAGCTGCCAGAAGAGGTGGTGGACGCGGGTACAATTATAACATTTAAAAGGCATCTGGATGAGAACATGAATAGGAAGGGTTTAGAGGGATATGGGCCAAATTTTGGCATGGACGAGTTGGACTGAAGGGTCTGTTTCTGTGCTGTACAGCTCTATGACTCTATTGTTTTGAAGTTGACCTCCCTCTGATAACTAAAACCCCCAGAGGAGCTCGCCTCACCTTGTTATCTGTTAAAAGAAACTGTGAAAAGTGGTATAACCTGCCTTTCACCTCCCAATCTGTTATAAACGGGAAGTTAAATGAAATGAACTGACAGTCACTCTATAATCAAGTAACAGTTTATTTATCTAACTCTAACAATAGAGTTGTGAGAAAGGTACAAATCTGGTTCAGAGGGATTGGAAGGGGCTAAGTGAGTGGGTGAAAGATTTGGCAGGTGAAATACAATGTAGAGAAGTGTATGATTATCCAGTTTGACAGGGAAGCAGAGATACAGAGAATTTCTTTAACAGTGAGAGGCTGGGGAGTGCCTGAACTTCAAAGGGATTTGTGTTTCCATCAGACGCTGAATGTTGATGTACATTTAATAGAACTGGATGCAGCTTGCTCCTATTTCTTATGTTCTTAAAGATAAATGAAATGATTATTGTCTCTAACTCTCTCTCTCTCTGTTGATATTTATTTTCTTCAATGACTCTGTCCTGCCCTCTTTCACCATTCCTTCCACCTTCACCTCAATTCGTCTTTATCCATTTCTTTCTCTCACTCTTGTCTTATTGTCTTTCTTACTCTATCTCACTTTCTCTCTTTCTCTTCCTCTCCCTCTTTCTGTTTTTCTCTCTGTCCCTCTCTTCACCTCTCTCTCTTACTCTTTGTCTTCTTCCCACTTCCTCTCCATCACTCTTTCTGTCTGTGTCTGTCTCCCTCTATCTCTCTGCCTATTTGTCCCTCTCTTCCCCTCTCCCGCTTCCTATCTCCCTCATCTTTCTGCTTCTCTCTCCCTGCCTCTTCCTCACTCGCTCCCTCTCTCGCACCCTGCCCGCTGCATCTCTCTCTCTCTGTCTGACCACCTCTCCCTTGTCTTTCCCTCCCTCAGGGATATAGCAGTGAGGAATGTTCTGGTTGCTGCTCACAATTGTGTGAAGTTGGGAGATTTTGGTCTCTCACGTTACATTGAAGAGGACAATTATTACAAAGGTAGGACAGATTCTTCCAGTCATTCAGCATTCCCACGCTCTCTGTGCCCTGACCATCGGGGCAAATGATAATATGTGAGCCATGGGCTCAGGGCTCAGAGCCCTGTCAGAGACATGAGGCATAATGCAGGCAGGACCCTCCCAGTGCAGGGCTGGTTCATAGTTGTTGGAATTTTGCTACACATAACTGGCGACTTCTTCTCATTCACAGGACTATGTTTCAAATGTATTTCACTGGGTGTGAGGTCATTTGAGATGTTGTAAAAGAAATGTTTTACACTTTCCTGGTAAAATTGTGAGCATGTGTATGGGGCATTTCAGGCTTTAGTGACATGTAAAGAGGTGATCCCAGTGGGAGATATAGTCACCACCCAAACTGCTCACTCACCTACTGGGGGGGACAGTGTAGAGAGAGCTTTACTCTGAATCTAACCCTGTGCTGTCCCTGTCCTGGGATAGTTTGATGGGGGACAGTGTAGAGGGAGCTTTACTCTATCTAACCTCATGCTGTCCCTGTCCTGGGTGTGTTTGTTGGGGACAGTGTACAGGGAGCTTTACTCTGTATCTAACCCCGTGCTGTCCCTGTCCTGGGAGAGTTTGATGGGGGACAGTGTAGAGAGAGCTTTACTCTATCTAACCTCCAGCTGTCCCTGTTGGGGACAGTGTACAGGGAGCTTTACTCTGTGTCTAACCCCGTGCGGTCCCTGTCCTGGGCGTGTTTGTTGAGGCAGTGTAGAGAGAGCTTTAATCTGTGACTAACCCTGTGCTGTCCCTGTGAAGGTAAGGCTAGATTGCTGGAATAAATCATGCGTTATCCCAATGATGACAACCATTTCTGGAGAGTGTGTGTTGAAGAGTACGGGCTCCTGTTTATTGCTGTGGGAGGCTGGGGACAGCAGTTCTCCTCCTTTCTTCACATTTTGTTGTTAATCCTGCAGCATCAGTGACACGGATGCCGATTAAGTGGATGGCCCCAGAATCCATTAACTTCAGACGGTTTACCTCCTCGAGTGATGTGTGGATGTTCGGTAAGTGATGGAGGAAGAGTACCAGTCTGTCTGTTTGTCTGTCTCAGTAGGACAGCTGTTCTGACTGTGGCATCATGACTGTAGGCAACCCCCCAGGACTGCCATCCATGGTCTGAGACTGTATGGAGAGTCAGAGTCAGTACATGTGGCAAACTAGGAAGTCCCCCAGCAATTTGCCAGGCAGTCACTGAGTTCTAGAACCCTACCCCAAGGTAACCCCATTGTAACTTCAAGGCGAGGGATGGATAAGACATTCTTATCTTCCCAGCATCTCCCAAATCCTGACTCTGAAGAATTATCTTGAAATGTCAGGACAAAAGTCTCAGATTCATCAAATTGCTCCAGCATAGAAAGAGGCCATTTGGGCTATTGCATGTGTGCCTGCCTTCCAGATGAGCAGCTCACTCCGGGCCATTCTCCCACCTTCTCCTGCAAATTCTTCCTTTCCAATTGACTCTCAGAAGGTCTCGATTAAACCTGCCTTCCCCACAATCTCAGGCAGTGCGTTGCAGACCCAAACAACTCACCACCTGAAAATACTTTTTGAAACACTAGGAAGCTCAGAGGGACAGAAGGATCTTGGGAAGCTTGTCCACAACCCCTGAAGGGGGCAGTACAGGGCAATAGGGTCATTACGAAGACAAAGGGACACTTGCCTTTATCAATTGAGGCATAGCCTGTAAGAGCAGGGAGGTTTTGCTGGAGCTGTACAGGACTTTGGCCGGGCCACAGCTGCAGTACTGTGTACGCTTCTGGTCCCCACACTATAGGGAGGATGTGATTGTACTGGAGGGGGTGCAAAGGAGATTCACCAGGATGTTGCCTGTGATGGAGCATTTCAGCGATGAAGAAAGGCTGGATAAGCTTAAGTTGCTTCCTTTAGATCAGAGAAGGCTGAGGGGGATCTGATAGAGATCTATAAGATGATGAGGGGCATGGACAGGGTGGATAGAAAGCAGCTGTTCCCCTTATTCAAAGGGTCAGTAACAAGGGACTTAATTTCAAGGTGAAAGGCAGGAGATTTAGAGGAGGGTTAAGAGGATGCAGATCTGGAATGCACTGCCTGGGTGGGAAACCTCACAACCTTTAAAAGTACTTGGGTGAGCAACTGAAATGTCAGGTCTGTGGGCCAAATGCTGCAAAGTGGGGCTAGTATCGATTAGAATTGAATTATTGTTGAATTAGCTTTATTGTCACATGTACTCTAATGAATACAGTGAAAAGTTCACAGTTGCTGCATTACAGTGCCATCTTAGGTACAAAGGTATCAATACTTTAGATCAAATTCTTAGGAAACAACAAAAAAAAGGTAAAGAAATAAATAGTCCAGCATTATAGGTCATACGAATAAATTGGAAAAACAAGCAAATAAAAAGTTCAGAATATCAGCCTTTTTGACGCAGTCCATGCTGGCACCCAGCCTGAAGGGAGATCTCCCCCACCCCACTGTTTCCTGTGCCAGACCCACCAACATAGAGATCGCCCCATCTCTTCACCACTGGGCCCACTTCGCTGACGCCGCTCGCTCTCACACTCGCCCCACGACCTCGAGTCCCTGGCTCTGCTGCCAGGCCAGGCTGCCACGGGGCCATGTTTCCACCATCGGCTGCAGATGGTACCCTGCCAGCGCCACCATCTTGAAGAGTCCACTGCCACTGGCATCACCGTCCCAATTGCTGGAGGAGCTTTGCTGTTTCTCCCAATGTCCCTCTGGGAGAACGATCCCACTGTTAGTGTCACAGGCCCCAAACGGCAAGAGAATTTAGTGTAGTTCTAGAAGCACAGACTCAATGGGCCATTGTTATGCATTGTGTGACTCTGTGATGGAATCATTAATGGCACAGAAAGAGGCCATCCTACCCGCCCACTGTCTCCCACAGAGCGATTCAGTCAGTCCTGTTCCCCACTCTATCCCCCATCTCCCTGTGAGTTTGTTTCCTTTGAGTGTCAGTCCAATTTCCTTTATGAAAGGATGTTTCTGTTTCTCCTGCCCCTGTGACCACTGAGTTCTGGCACATCACTCCTCGCTGCATAAAGAAAGCTGCCCTCACTTCCCTTGGCACCTTTGCCCAGGATGTTAATTATGTTTCCCCAGTCCGTGTGCCATCAACCAATGAGGAGAGGCTTTCCTTTGTGTACCTGATCTAATCTTATCATAACCTTCTCCACCACCAACTCGATCTCCAGTGAGAACAACCCAACCAACCTTACATGTGAACAAGCAGCTGATGTAGGCCATAAAGCCCCTCGAGCCTGCTCCACCATTCAATAAAGTCATGGCTGCTTCAATTGTAGCTTCAAATCCATATTACTGTCTCCCTCGGTAACCTTTCAGCATCCTCCCCAACACCTTGCTTCACAACAATCTATCCTTGGGTCCAAATCCTGGAATACCCTCCCTAAGGGCATGTGGGTCAACCTACAGCACATGGACTGCAGTGGTTCAAGAAGGCAGCTCACCCCCACCTTAAGGGGCAACTAGGGATGGGCAATAAATACTGGCCCAGCTGGACACATCCATGTTACTACCTCTTCAAGGGGGTAGATTTTTGACACATTGTGCTAATGTCACTGGATTAGTAACTGCAATGCCCAGCCTAAGGCTCAAAGAACAAGGGTTCGATTTCCACAACAGCAGCTGGGAGAATGTAAATTTGGTGAATAAACCTGAAATTAAAAGCTAGTGTTGTAAATGGTGACCCTAACAATTATCATAAAAACCGAAAGAACTGCGGATGCTGTAAATCAGGAACAAAAAAACAGAAGTTGCTGGAAAAGCTCAGCAGGTCTGGCAGCATCTGTGAAGAAAAATATCAGAGTTAACGTTTCAGGTCTGGTGGCCCTTAGAACAATTATCATCATTGTTACAACAACCCCTTTGGTTCACTAATGTCTCCTAGGGAAGGAAATCTGCCATCCTTACCCAATCTGGTCTACATGTGACACCAGACCCACAGCAATTTGACTTGTGCCTGCCCTCTGAAATGGCTGAGTGAGCTGCTCAATCCCAGGGCAATTAGAGATGGGCGGGGGGGGGGCAAAGAATATTGGCCGTGCCAGCACCACCATGCTCCCTTAAAGAGATCATTCATTGTGAAATTCAAAACTTTAACCCAGTCCCCACC